TATATATATATATATATATATATATATATATATATGGCGTAATGTTTACTTAAAGAGCCTCCCCATAAGTCAGACAGGCAACACTTACTGTAGAAAGAGAAGACCCAAAGTAATAGAGTGCCTGGTTTCAAGATGACTGTAGCATACCTGGCACTCAGGAATGGGTCTAAGGCAACAAAGCTGAGGAGTGGACACACTTCCCTTGCTGCTGGATGTTTTGCATTCTCCTGCAATTTCCTTTCTTTGTATTGCTGGACATGACCCCTCCAGACCACCCTGGCTGGCCCTACTGGTCGCATTTGTGGATTTTGTCACCCTGTGGGCTCTTAACCCTAATGTTTGAGTTATTTATATTGACAAATTTTGTTTTATGCACACCTCATTGGTTGCTTACCAATAACATCTACATGTGGGTTCTTTCATAACAAAATCAGAACATATTTGTGTATCCGGATAGTTTATACTGTGTATTCTTTGTTATATGAACCTAACCTTCATGTTTTTCCACATATTTTTCTTAAAAATGTACCTAGCTACATTGTTCAAGTAGAGATGTTTTGGTAAAATGTAAGCAGTTTGGGTTCTCTTTAGGTAATGAATTCCAGGGTTTGATGACTCAGTTTGAGCTTTATTTCACATCAGTAACAGAGCCATTTATAATTTATCTGAATAATGTATTTTATTTTCCTCTCACTGTATCTTTAGCCACCCCCCACTCTTTGTTGCTGAAGAGACAAAAAAAAATCACCTTTGATCTTTTTTAATGAATTTTTTTCCTTCGAAAGCAATGGTGAAACAAAAATGGGCACAATGCAGTGTTCCAGAATCTACCTTAAGAATCAGTGTATTGGGCCTGAAGAAAGTAAGAATGTAGGTCTTGGGCTTCAAGCATCTTCAGGGTTGAAGGGGGCAAGATCAAGATGGAGCAAGATGAGGAAACAGTGAACCTCTGCACCTGTACTAATAAGGAAGCTCCACTTAGTCCAGAATTATATTTTGACATACAATATAAGATCTTGTTTACAAATGATAAAAAATATTAACAAAATGAAAGAAATATGCTTAAACTCCAGTGCTAGAGGTCATATAAATAGGGCTAGGGCTTTCTTTGCAGTTGCTAGATGGAATCATTTCAAGCCATACACACGATTAAAAAGATAAAAAGTTTATTAAGTTCTGAGAATCACACCAAACACACACATGCAAACACACACACACACACACACACACACACACACACAC